TTTGTAAACTTAAACAAAAACATTTTCAATATAAACACTGAATGCATGAATACTTATACTCGGGAGGATATTTGGCGGAAATTGATTCATACATGTAAGAAGTTATTGTTGATTTGATAGCCTTGCTGAATTTTCTAAAGAAAAAGGATATATACAAAGAGTAAAAAACATATTTAGGGGTCGGGGATTGGGGATGTTAGTAGTCCTTGACTTCTAAATTATCTTCATACCTACGACTTTTCAAACAAACTTAGATCACAGACCTGCGATTTCAAAGGGGATAGGGAGTCTGCCTTTTCCAGAGGGGAATACAATGTCACTTTTATTTTGCAAATTTCAGCGAGAATCCGCGCATGAATGTCGAAACAAACCAAAAAAAAAAATATGGTAAGAAATAAACACATAAATGAAATATAAAAAAAAGAAACTAAAGGACTGATTGTTGGTTCACGCCTTTTACGTGAATTTTCACTAATATTAGACGTAATAAGCTTAAAGGGAAAAATGTCTAATAATTATTTTCTTGAATTATTATGATACTGGTCAATTGAAAGCAGATATACGTGAATTTCCTTTTTTTTAAATCCGTATAATTTTTTCTTTGCTCTGTATACCGGATCGATATTCACGACGTCAAGCGTGACGTCACGATATTTTATGACGTTGTTCTTGAAAATGCTACATTTTTCAATATAAAAGCAATTATCTACAATTAAATTACGAAAAAATGAACCCAAAGACATATTAATTTTTTCACATAGATTTCTTTCAAATCAATTCTATTTTTAAATACCAAAGGATAAACAAATTCGTCTGCACGATTTAAAAGTTACTGATATTTTTCTAATAAAAACCTTGCCTGAAAACAAGCTAAAAACGACGATTTTCCTATACAATTCAATAGAATACCGTTGAAAATGTAACTTCAACAATGACATCTTTTGAATTCAATTACACAAAAACGGTGCAGACGAATTTTATAAAATTTTCAGAGAATGGAAATCAAAGGTAGAGAAATCATATAGGTAATTTTCATGGTATGTTTTCGAGCACTTTTAAAAGCCCTGTAAACCCGCGACCTACGTTAATTACTTAACATATGATCCAAATTTTTTAATTTATTGTTGCAAATTGTTAAGATGAATATCTTTGCTTCAGTAATGTATTACAAAAAATTGAATCATTAAAATGTTAAAGATGAAAAAATTTTGACCCCTATAAGCCCCTAATTTGAGGGGTCAACCCCTTTTTCTTGGTATCACATGAAAGCTCTTATTATTCTTACAACTTTTCTTCAACATGTTTTAGCAAATTATGAACAGATAAGAACATATGAAAAAAAAAGGGGTCAAATTTTGTGAGATGTTTCCGAGACATTTTTCCTGGCCCTACTGAGCTCTAGAAAGATTTGGACACCCATTTACAACTCAGCAATCCTTTCTTTACTCACACTGAAAATCTTGGGTCAATATCTTAAGTCGTTTTGGAAAAGTTTCCAGGACAAGCCAACCCTCTGAAAATCAGAAAATTGTCCATATCTCATGACCGGAAGTGGCGTCATCATACAACAAAAAAACTCTTCAAGATCAATTTAATATCTTTTACATCTGAAAGTTTAATATAAATCAGACCAGCTAAGTCTGAGTAATCGCATGCTCAAAATCGGTTGGAAGAAAAAATAATAATAAAAAACTAGATAAGATCTTGTTGCCAGCAACGAATAGGTCTTCCGTTGAATTTCTTGATAAGATGAGATGTGATTTTGACTGAGATATTCAAAAAAAAAGAATAACATTAAGTTTTCCTTCATCAAATTTATTTCTTCTGTTGATTTATATCACAATATCTTGATCTTCTTTTGTTCAATATGGCTTATTAAAATATTCCCCCTTTTCGAGATAAAAAGCATCAAAGATATAGCATTCTTTTACCGTTCTGGAGATTATCCATGGACAAAATGTCATTTTAAATTCAGGAAAATGGTCCGTAACTTTGCACTAGATTGGAATTTCCAAAAAATCTCTCGGATGTATCAAGTTCATGTTAAAATACATCTTCTCTGAAAATTTTGTGTAATTCCATCCAGAAGTCTTTGAGAAATTGAATCTGAAAAATAACAATAATAAGAAGAAGAAGAAACAATAGAATCAGTCTAAGGTCCTCTGTTAGGATGGAAGACCTTAACTATACATCACGGAAGACCTTAAATGTGAAAAAATCTTGTCAGGCTCATGACTGGAAAAAATTTTGTCCCACTGATCATGGTAGCATAGTGGTAGAATGTTTGCTTTGTAGTGGGGAGGCCTGGGTTTGATTCTCGTTCACAGCACCACATCAAACCTAGGTAGTGACTGTTCCTTTGCCAAGTGCTGTGCATTAGAAGTGAAAGTTACAGGACTTTCTATATGACCTTTTAAAAACTGTAGGTCCTGTGTCACAGTAGGGGTTTGGCATGGTAAAGAACCCTGAGTGAGTGCTGAGTATAGATCTAAATTTGAAGCCCTTCACTGGGATACAGTGTCCTCTCTATATGAGTGAAAAATTCTGGAATGGGATGTAAAACAATATACACCAATCAAACTAATGGGTAAAAAGTATTGAAATCCATAGAATAAAGATCTCAAGAACCACTGGATCAGAAAAGCTGGGGCCAGTTTCACAAAGCTGTCTTATGACTAAGATCTGTCTTAAGACCGAAAATTATCTTAAGATTGCACCATAGCTGTTTCACAAAACTGTCATATATTAAAGATCTATCAAAATCTTACTACAACTAGATACATGTCTTAAGTCTAAAGTGTAACTGGTGACAGTATATATTTTGGCTAAAAACCTAAGGATATTTAAAGATAAACAGTCTTTAGTGATAGAACAAGCCTTCGGACTATATAAGGCCAGACGGAACGATGACCTGCAGAAAATAATTTGTCAATAAATAAACGATAAGAAACCTAAAATATACTACTTAAAATATTTTTCTACTTTATTCATTTCAGTTAAGGCCATGTATGTACATTTATGTAAAATCCGTATCTCTGACATATATAACTTTATTTCAGATTGTTCATTGTTCATTGTTCATAATATCTTGTGAAAACGAGATATTAACTTGTGAAAATGAGATATTATTTTGTGAAAACGAGAAATTATCTTGTGAAAACGACATAATATAATCTCGTTTTCACAAGATAATATCTTGTTTTCACAAGATAATATCTCGTTTTCACAAGATATTATGTCATTTTCACAAGATAATATCTCGTTTTCACAAGATAATATCTCGTTTTCACAAGATATTATGTCGTTTTCACAAGATAATATCTCCTTTTCACAAGATAATATCTCGTTTTCAGAAGATAATATCTCGTTTTCACAAGATATTATCTCATTTCCACAAGATATTATGTCATTTTCACAAGATAATATCTCGTTTTCACAAGATAATATCTCGTTTTCACAAGATAATATCTCGTTTTCACAAGATAATTTCCTGTTTTCACAAGATATTATGTCATTTTCACAAGATAATATCTCGTTTTCACAAGATAATATCTCGTTTTCACAAGATAATTTCTCGTTTTCACAAGATAATATCTCGTTTTCACAAGATAATTTCTCGTTTTCACAAGATAATTTTTTTTCTGGTATTTAAAAAAAAATTATTGCGTGTCCTAAATATACCACCGTAGAATTCCATACCCCGCAAGAATATCACAATTAACTATGACCAATTATGAGCAGTTTTTAAAATGACTAAAGTAATTCCAGATCCTGTGTTTGAGATTCTTGTAGTTTATTTATTGATAGGGTACATTAATATCTTTTTAGTAAACAGAAATATGAAGTATATGCATTTCTAGGGATTAGTTAAGTCAATGAAAGTAAAGAAAATACTTATATATACACTTCATTTTTAGACGTTTTACTTTATTTTGTTACACTATGGTGATTTTTTTTTAGAAATTAGAAAGTAAACATTTCATTCAGTCGTACAAAATTAGATAAAATCAAATAATTTTATTCTTGGGGTATCCCTCATTAATCTACCGGAATGTGTAATGTGTATGAAAATCATGCTGTAACATTTGATGCTGTATGTACATGCTTTCTTCCTTCTTTTATAATAGTATTGAAACTATAAAATTTTGATTGGAAAATGTTTGGTTTTTTTCGTTTCTTTTCTTCATCCGTTAGCATTGATATTTTGTTGCAGTAGTTGAAGTGTTTTAAAGACACCTACATCGAATTTTTTAAACGAACTTTTAACACGATTTGGTGTTTCAAGAGAATTCATTGCTATAATCATTCATTAATTGCAAAGGTTCGGATACTCTAGTAGCTTTAATTAAAAAAGCATCTCATAAATTTCGTCAGTAACTACTATTTTTTGAGCAAGAAGACATTTAAACATATTATATTCAATTATTTTTTTATGTGATGAAATTAATTCAAATTTAATAATTTTGACCCGACCCCCGACATACACAAACACACCCTGATTACATTGAAGTTGATGCAATAAAATGTTTGTCTTTTTTTCCTAGGGTTTATCTGCAAAATTAAGGAAAGGCATTTAAACTTCTTGCATACATATATTTAACAAAAAATCCCTGTGAAATTAAAGAATGAAATTCGTCTTAAGATTTGTCTTAAGATTTCTTATACTTAAGATAGTTTTGTGAAACAGCAGTGACAAATCTTATGATTGTCATAAGTCATATCTTAAGATGATCGTAAGATCTATCTTAGGATAAATCTTACGATAATTTTGTGAAACCCAGCCCTGAACTTTATGACTAGCGGAAGATTCCCAAGGTAGTAAACATTCTAAATTGTTCAAATCATGGTCCCTGGTGGAAGGGTATAAGGGTAACAATAGAAAATCAAAGTTTGACATTGAAATATTAACAAAGAAAAGACATTTACAAATCTTTTTCTTGTAAGAACTGAAAAAAATTTAATGTGAATTAATGATATTGTGCAACATGACTTTGATAAATAATTTGTCTGATCTTGATAGCCACCAAATTAGCCCAAGCCCAGAAGTTCAATGATCCCAAAGATCCATGTAAGGTGCTTGTGGCTACTGATGCCATAGGAATGGGGATTAACCTGTAAGTAGGGTGTTCTGACACACAATTTATATAATTGAAGACTTGATCAGGAAAGAGAATTCACAGAAAATAACAGATAATGGACTTTTATAGAATAGCTGTTTAAAATCAAGTTAATGATTTTTTTTTCCAGGAAAATCAGAAGAATGATTTTCCTCCAAGCTGAAAAGTTGAATAGAAATGAGCATGGTGAATTAATTATGTCAAGAATCAGCACACCACAAGCAAAGCAGATAGCTGGACGTGCAGGGCGATATAGAAGTGGACAGGAGGTGGGGCTAGTTACAGCATATGGTGAGAAGACATTGGAGCAAATCAAAACAATTATCAAAGAGGATGTGGAAGACATCAAAGTAAGGGGCATGAAAACGATACCTATTTGTTATGCTCTGTTTACATGGAGAGATTAATTTGAATTAAACGTAAGTTACTGCGAATTAAATTTTGACAGCGTTCACACGGAGAATTTAATGCAAATAAGTTTCATTCAAATTAAGTAACTGCACATTAAATTACTTCGCATTAGCTCCATTTGAGTGCTGAGCGAAGCTAATTTTTTTGATGCATGCTTAAGGCCAAAATTAAGTCATAGGCCACATGTCAGTAGTTAGATTTAGGTATCTGTGCTATTTTTGGTTGAAAAAATAAAGGAAAATTATGTTAGTCACTAAATTGTATGTAATCACTATGATTATTTTGTCAGATGGATCTGCTTAGAAACACATGATGTGAATTACAGATGATGTCATAATAGCTGTACTGAATAGCCGTATTGTAGAAATAAAATTTTAATTCACATAAGTTAAATTTGCTTTAGCTGTCGTGTGAACGCAATTTAATTCACATTATTTTACTTCGCATTAGTTCACTTCTCATTAATTTACTGCAAACTAAACTCTCCATGTGAACATCGCATTAAAGTTTTTATTAGGTCACCTGAGTCACTCAGGTGACCTATTGCTATCTGTTTTTGTCCTTCATCATACGTCGGTCATAAACTTTTGAACATTTTTAGAGCTTCTTCTCTGCAACCACAGATCCAATTTCAATTAAATTTGGTATACAGCATCTATGGATGAAGGGGAACAAAATTTATGAATTTCATGGTCCCTGCCTTCATGGGGCCTGGGGGACGGGGCTAAAACCACCAAAATCAATGCATGACATCAAGCAGTCAAACTGTTGGCATGATTGTAAGAAGCACTGAGCCTTCTACCAAAATTGTGAAATTCATGGCACCAGGGTAAGGGGTTCTGGTGTTTGGATGGGGCTGTAATGGTTATATAGTGAAAAAGCATGAATTCTTTGAAGATCTTTTCCTTTGCTTCTGGGTATTTTGCCAATGATCTAAGTACATATTTAATATGAAGAAAGGTGCCTCTTCTGAAATGGTTAATTTCAGGGCCCGTGGGTCAAGGGTACTGTGTGTGTGGGGGGGGGGGGGGGGGGTTACATAGTCTGAAAATAAATGAATGCTTTGAAATCTGCTCTGGTATTTATCAACCGTTTATGATGAATGTACAACTGATTATAAAGTGGAAATACATTTTCTCTTTGTTACTCTGATCTACCTACGAGTATTAAAAAACCAAAGTAAGCATGCTAAGTGTATAGTTATGAAAAGCAATGGTGCCTCTTTCAAAATTGTGAATGTCATGGCCCCTGGTTTAAAACACAAACCAATTTCAATTGTTGGAAAGTTGGTACATGATACTCAGGTGACCTATGAGGCCCATGGGCCTCTTGTTTTCTTTTTAGCATGTAACACATGCAACCCAGGTGCATTGAGGCAAAATAGTTAATCCTATCAACTGTTAAAAACACCGATGTCATTGATTGGAAAAGGGTTTATATAAAATTTATTTTGTTTCATAGTATAAAAATTTGCAATCTAGACCATACATGTTAACTCTACCACACTTTAGGTGGGAATCTTCTGCTTTTTCAAACAGCAATAAATAGAACTGGATGAAAAGTTTGACATTGTCTGTAAAAACTCAGGAGCTCACAATTTTATCAATAAAGTCAATAGAAATCACTCGATTGACCAAGCCATGAGCCATGTTACATCTGATTGTTTACTTTCATTTTTGAACATTGTGGGAAATCCAATTTATTTAAGGAGAGATAGGAACTAGTTTTAGATCTAGACTAGAGGTACTGTGAGCAATGAGCTCACTAAATGATACCCCCCGCCTCCCATATGAATATAATGGGAGTGTCAATGTTTTGTTGTGGGAAACCCAAAATATGTGTTAGATCAAAAAGTAAAATAGGAGGTGCACAACGGCAATATGTAATAAAGATTCTGTGAAAATTTCATCAAATTTCTTTCAGTGGTATGAGAGGACTTGTGGATAAGACATGGGTACCCCAACGCGTAACAAAATGGATTATGGACAGACAGACGGATGGACGTACAGCTGAACGGACATAATGATTACTATATACCCTCCCGTTTTTCAAACGAGGGGTATAGATATACAATGACATCATTTGCTGTGTTTGACAATTGACAATTGTCTGTGCGCCGTCTGTCTAGCTGTCTGTCCGCCGTCCGTTCGTCCGTCCATCTGTTACGCTTTGGGGTACCCATCTCTTATCCGCAACTCCTCTCATGCCACTGAATGAAATTTGATGAAAGTTTCACAAAATCTTTATTACATATTGCCATTGTGCACCTCCTATTTTACTTTTTGATCTGACACATATTTTGGTTTCCCAGAGCAAAACATGGACACTGCCATTTTATTCATCTGGGAGGCGGGGGTATCATTTAGTGAGCTCATTGCTCACAGTACCTCTAGTTTGTGGTCTGAATCTCCCTCTTTTTCATCACATGTACTGTGATGAAAAAGATAATAACAAGTATGTCTAGACACAATCAAGGTATGAGGATTTACCCAGAATTGTATTCTCTATATATACCCTTCTGCCTCAGAGTTTATTGAATAAATTAAAACCCAGGGTAAATCCCAAATCTTGATTAAACCCAGATAATTAAAATTATGCCCCAAGATCAAAAATCAGGGGCATAATTTTTTTTCAGATTATGGACTACTGAATTTGTTCTCAGAAACTTGCTGACATTATTAGCTCACCTGAGCCGAAGGCTCAAGTGAGCTTTTCTGATCACATTTTGTCCGGTGTCCATCTGTCCGTCTGTCTGTCTGTCTGTCTGTAAACTTTTCACATTTTCGACTTCTTCTCAAGAACCGCTGTGCCAATTTCAACCAAACTTGCCACAAAGTATCCTTGGGTGAAGGGGATTCAAGTTTGTTCAAATGAAGGGCCACACCCTCATTCAAGGGGAGATAATTGGGAATTAATGAAAATTTAGTGGCATATTTTAAAAATCTTCTTCTCAAGAACCACTGTGCCAGGAAAGATGAAACTTATGGGGAAACATCCTCAGTAGTGTAGATTCAAATTTGTTCAAATCATGACCCCGGGGGGTAGGGCGGGGCCAAAATGGCCGACCAAAGTTTTACATAGAAATATATAGGAAAATTCTTTAAAAATCTTCTTCTCAAGAATGACAAAGCCATAATTCATCATATTTATATGGGAGCATGCTCAGGTAGTGTAGATTCAAGTTTGTTCAAATCATGACCCCCCGGGGTAGGGCAGGGCCAGAATGGCAAACCAAAGTTTTACATAGAAATATATAGGAAAATTCTTTAAACATCTTCTCAAGAATGACAAAGCCATAATTCATCATATTTATATGGAAGCATGCACAGGTAGTGTAGATTCAAGTTTGTTCAAATCATGACCCCCGGTGGTAGGGCGGGGCCACAATGGCCGACCAAAGTTTTACATAGAAATATATAGGAAAATTCTTTAAACATCTTCTTCTCAAGAATGACAAAGCCATAATTCATCATATTTATATGGAAGCATGCTCAAGTAGTGTAGATTCAAATTTGTTCAAATCATGACCCCCAGGGGTAAGGCGGGGCCAAAATGGATGTCCAAAGTTTTTAAAGATATATATAGGAAAATTCTTTAAAAATCATTTTCTAAAAAATAGCAAATCCATGATTGGTCATGGGACTACTTTTGGATTTAAACTTTACAATAAAAAGCCATTTTCTACTTTTTCCTACCCTTAGTGCTCCATACATGCCAACTTTCCCGATTTAGGCGGGATCCTCCCGATTTTACCCTTTCATCCCGCCTTCCCGATCGGGAGAGAAAAATTTACCTAATTTCCCGATTTGGAAAAAAAATCACTTTAAAATTTCAAATTTTAAAAGTTTCTCTGCCGCTGAATTTTGACAATCGGGATAACAATGTCAGACTTGTATATTCAATGCCACAGATAAGTTTCACTGTTTATTTAACCAGGTGTTCATTACTAATTAGCCACAGGAAATCACTTCATGCATGAACGCACGCAGTTGTCCAGGTACGAGTAGCTTATAGCTTGGGCAATTAGGGTATTATCTTGTCAGTTTTAAGGGGTATGCAAGGTGAAACACATAGATTAACGTGATAACTGTTAGTCATTTTATTAAAAACATAAATTAAAGACAATAAAATACTAATTAAACCATAAAATCGGAATCCAAAGAGATCGTTTTTTGAAAACGAAAGTAGAAAACTACAAAGCATAGCTGATGATTTTATCTACCTATAATAAAAAATATTTCTAAGATGCCAATTAAAATATTATGAAAAAATTAAGATGAAACAATCAAGTGTATTTCAATTAGAATTTCTTTTCCCTCCCTTCTCCCAAAAGTAATGTGCATGACTTAAGGAAATACCCATAAGGCACCATCAAGCCTGACAAATTTCATGACTGTAAAAAAAATAATTTTCTTTAAGATAGGTGGTATAAATTTCTGTAAATTTAATATCTAATTAGAATTTCTAATATATATAAAAAATCTCAAAAATGTTTCCAGAAACAGGACTTTACAGTATCAAAACCTCATATTTGTTAGCCTTTGAAAAAATGATTTAAAAGTTGTAAAATTTACAATTTTTCACTAAATTATGTGTTCTGGTAGAAAAAAATGTTGTTTACATATGTAACTAAATACCCATTCTTAAGTGAAAGAGGCACCTATTTTAGCAGAAATATTTCAACTTTGGAAAGAAAAACATTATTTTTGGTGTTAAATTAATTTTTAAGTTGTATTGATAAGTAATATCAATATTATAACTTTAAAAAAAGATCATTTCATAATCATTTCATTTCACGACAAAATGTCGCGAATTTAAAAGCTTTGAAAATTGTCGTCATGCGCTAAATCCCCCATGGGAATTTTCAAAAGTTGGCATGTATGGTGCTCAGGTGAGCGATGTGGCCCATGGGCCTTTTGTATATATTTAGTTACGATGAAGGAAGGAATTTTCCTTTTCTAATTATAGATTATAGACCTTATATAATCATGTATTAAAAGTAGAAAAAAATGAATTACATTTTAAACGATTGATTTTTTATAACACACTATCAATTTAATTCGCTCTAAAGATATTTAACTGAATATCTACAGTACTGTACCAGCATATGAAGTCTGATAAATAAAAAATACCTTTAGATTGCAACAAAGAAAATTAAAATCTCAAAACATGAAAGGCATTATATAAAGGTGTTCACAATAAAAATAATAATAAACTTGACAACTGGTAGAAATACTAATGACTAAAAAATATATGATTATATGTTGAAATTCTGAATTTTTCAGGCAGCAGGTCTTTTACCAACTGTAGAACAACTGGAACAGTTCTATTTCTATCTCCCAAGCTTTAAGCTTCCAGATATTCTGGTAAGTTCACTTTGATAATCTGTTTCACTTTAAAACACTTACTCAGAAGTAAGCTGAGAAGGAGAATACAGACTATCAGTACTCAGAACACCAGTACTCAGACAGATCATCAGTACTCAGAACACCAGTTCTCAGACAGACCATCAGTACTCAGAACACCAGTTCTCAGACAGACTATCAGTAGTACTCAGACAGACCTCCAGTATTCAGTCAGGCTATCAGTCCAAAATGATTTAAGGCTTGGTATAGGCATTCTTATTAAAATGCAATAGAGGTATACATGCATTTTTTATACACTGAGAGAAATCTTTAATTCGTTTTCATATGCATACTTAGTTTCCAAGGCATGTTATAGATAGTGCACATTAGGCTTTATAAATTTGATTATGTGGAAGGCTCCTTGGGTAGTAAGAAATTAAATTAAAATCATGGACCCCGCTGGTAGGGCGGGGCCATAATGGGGAATCAAAGTTTAACAATGAAATACGACCTGGACACGACTTCGAGATATCCGGGGGTTCGAGATATCCGAAGTTATCTTCCAAAGTCGAATCAGCGATTCCCGTTTTTTCGTATATCTTGATGCGTAACACTATCCTGTATTACAAAACATGCAGTCTTTATGGTAAAGTCTCAGACATATTCGCAATAAATATTAAGAAAAACAATGCTGTTGTTTTCTTTGCCTTATTGCATATTCAGCAAATTTACATTTTCCAGGCCATGCTTACGTGGTCAAACGGGATGTATCATTAGCGTTATAGTTGAAGAACCTTCTCCGTAAGAAGAGAAAAAGACGAATTTTTTAAAAACATAATTTGATGAAATTTAGTGCAAAATGTTTTTAAAAAAATAATCAGTATTCAAACTGTGTACTTGATATTAATAGCTTACATGTATAACATTACGAAGTACTACTAAGGAACACATAGTTTACGAAACTAACAATGCAAATGGCGGTCAAGGTTATCTATTTATACGCAGATAAACATGAATGTAATCAATCACTGTGCATTATGCACTACAACTTAACTGTTTAAGTTTATTGTGAAATATATATTTGTTTTATGAATTTAGGAATTTAATTATACAGAGCATATTATTAAATGCAATATCGGTACTTTAATTTCTGAGTTGCTGTGAAGTGGTTTGTTTTATCGGTCGTAGACTACACCAAACACCCAAGCTGTCAAACCAATTAACCTGTCACAGATACCCGACATCAACATGAGCTTGAGAATAATTAAGATTCCCCAAGTTTGAAGGTGTTAATTAATAGCCACTGGCGAGAGTGTGTGAAGTCACGACGCTAGGTGTGTTCAGTAGACCAAAAAATTCACTGCACTTCGAGATAAGCCAGGTAAAAAAGGGCTTGGGACTTTGAATATACTTCGACATAAGCGGGGTATTCGAGATTACCGTGTTCGAGATATCAGGTGTTTTTTTAAATCATATAAAGAGAGAAAACGGCCGGGACCGGCGATCGACTTCGACATAAGTGGGGTATTCGATATATCCCATGTTCGAGATACTGATATTTACCTATATATAGGAAAAATTTTCTTTTGAAGAACCACTGGGCCAGGAAAGCTGAAACTTATGTGGAAGCATTCTGGGGGAA